GGAGAGCTGAGCCTGCATCCTCAGCGGGTCCCTGTCCCTGTCCCCATCCCATCTCCAGCCCCATCCGGGAGAGCTGAGCCTGCATCCTCAGCAGGTCCCTGTCCTCGTCCCCAGCCCCGTCTCCAGCCCCGTCCAGAGAACATCCTGCTCCCGTCCTCCAGATTGTCCTGCTTGCTGGCCTGGACGGAGCCTGTTCCTTCACTCTCCCTTTGCTTTCTCTTGGCCAGATCTAACTTCCTGATTGCCGCCTTGTAATATCTAGAGATTGGGGGTAATTATAACTCAAAGAGGCTTAACAAGCACTTGGAAAAGTTGGAATTAGCCCTCCGGCTTCTGCGCGAGGCTGTGCTGGGGATGAATCCGTTCTGAATGGACGGTCTTTTCAGCTGTCCCGGGAGGCTTAGCAGACGCGCCCTGCCTCCCTCCTGCGCCTCGCCATACAGCTGCTGGACACTGTGTCTATTTAAGCCCCATAAGCCCTTTTTAAAGCTATTGCCATGCTACCGGAGCATAACACGGAGGGTGCTTGAATGTGATTAATTAGCTCCATTTCGTTGTATTGCAAACGATGGCTCCGCTGGGTTACTTGGGGTTTGGGGTGGTGAAAAGTCAGAGCAAATGAGCCTCTTTGTGCAGTGCGTTGAGAAGGCTCCCGTGCACCCAGGAGAGAGTGTTTTTAGTGCCTGCAGGTCCCCCGTGGACCTGCGCCATTTTGTTGCTGGTGAGGCCACTTGACCGTTGAGGTAAGGTGCTGAACCTGGCAGAGTTCATCAGAGACACTCAGGCCTGTGGGGACGGACTCAGGCCTCCTGATCTCCCCGCTGAGCCCAAGTTCTGTTCCTCAGGCCCCCGGGGATACACGAGGGGCAGGCAGGATGGGGTTTGCAGGGACTGCTCCACTCTGGCAGTGGAGGACGGCAGCTGCGACCGGGTTCAGGAGAGGTGGCTTAGACAGGGAGACCCTGGGAGTTGCCAGGCACCCAGAACAGGTTCAAGGAGGGAGGCTGGGAAGCCTGAGCTGGGCCAGTATGTCTGGAGAGGGCCAGGCTGAGGGCATCTAAGGGGCAGAGAACTGCCCTGGGGGCGAAGTTGGCAGGAACAGGTGCTGTTTCCTGAGCCCCCGGTGTCTCCCCGCTGCGCCCCGCCCCTGCTGACCCTGCACCCCTGCCTAGGGATGAGCACAGGTGGGCAGCCTCAGCCCTGTCCCCTTCTGCAGACCCCCCAGGGTTCCATTCCTTGGACTGGTTCTTAAGAGCCTTGGAAAAGCCAACTGGCCCAGAAATGGGCTGCTGTGGAGTGCAGGGAGCAGGAGGCAGCCACCGTGCTCAGATGTGGGGTAGTCATGAACCTGGAGGGGTCCTTCCTGCTCCCCGTTAGGCCTCCTCATCAGGCCTGCAGGGCTCTGTGCGGCGCTTGCTGATGGGTGTCTGGCACCAAGGGAGGATGAGGCCAGTGACTGACCTGGAGGGGTCCTTCCAGATCTTCACTGCCAAGGCCATGACCCCATGGTGGGAAGGACGCTGAGAAGGGCAGCTCTGTGTGTGGCTGGGGGGCAGCTGCGTCTGCTCACACGTGGCCTCAGTTCAGAGGGGCTGCAGCAGCAGAGTGGAGGCCCAGCCGTCCCCCTGTCCCTGCAGGAGGTGGCAGGACAGGCTCAGCTGCGCCCACATCCACCAGTGTGAAAATGGCTCTGGGTCGAGGAGTGGGACCCTTGGCAGCACACCGGAGCCCACCCGTTCAGGAGTAGTGCAGTGTTCCGAGTCTGACCGGGCCCGTCCGATCCTGCCAAATGGCCGTGGTGCAGCTGCTCCACCCTCGGGGCCACGACTCCACCCTCGGGGCCACGACTCCAACCCCAGGCCACAGCTCCACCCCCAGGGCCACGGCGCCACCCTCGGGGCCATGACTCCACCCTCGGGGCCAGGGCGCCACCCTTGGGGCTGCTGCTCCTGGGAATGGATTATCTAGACCTGGCTTTCGTTTTTGTTTTTTGCTTTCAATTTTTTAAAAATTAGAGTGAATAACACATAAAATTCACTCTTTTCACTGTTTTGAAGGGCAGTTCTGGGGTGTGAAGTACATGGCGCTCCCCATTTCCGTCCAGCTGATGCCAGCAAGTGGGGTCCACGGTTAATCCCAGGACTAACCACATAGGTGGAAAGAATCTAGGCCTGGAGAAGATCCGTTCCTCACTGGCACGGACATCTGTCCAGCCCGCCTTCTGCCCCAGCATACACATTTGTCTACCCTCCCCACCCCCCTGGCGAGGACATTCGTCCAGCACACCCTCCTCCCTGCCTGCCCCCAGGCTGCTCAGTGTGATTAGAAGCCTGGTGCCTTCTCAGCTTCCAGCCGGGGTTACCAAGGCTGCGGTGTCTGAGAAGCTCACTGCCCCCAGCACTGCCTCACGATGCTTGTTCAGAGCCCAGGACATTGATTTCCAGCCTCAGGCTGTGGTCACCTCAGGCTGAGGCCGTGATCACAGGGACCACGGGTCACAGGGCAGCCCCCTTCCCGCATCCGTCCGTGAGCTGGTGGGTGGTTTGCTTGGATGTCGCTGCCTCAGCGTCTCTCTGGGACCAGGCTTGGCTGCAGGGCACACACCCGTGCAGGGTGGGCCGGGCATGAACCCACCCCAAGCCCATGCCGGGCCCCTTCCCCTCCTGCCTGTCAGGCGGGCTCCATCTCTGGACCCGAACTCCTCAAAGCCCTAGACCTTTCCGGGTCTGTGGTTCCCTGGGTGGGGTTCAGCGTTTTCCTGTCCTCTGGGCCAAGGTTTCCTGAACCAAAGGCTCCATGGAGGAGCTGCCCCTCCTGCTGCCCTCCGAGGCTGAGAGCCGGGTGCGTGAAACGTGTTGACAGGAGGCTCATGGCAGGAGGAAAAGCAGACAGATTTTTTATCATAGTTATGTGTACGGGGGGTCCTGGGGAAAAAAGAAAATACCCAAAACAGTGGTGGCCCTGAGGGCCGATGGGCAGGCTGGGTAGGAGAAGTGGGGGCGGGCAGCTTTTAGGGGAGACTGTGGAGCCCTCGAAGAAGCAACGGGGTCTGTAAGGGTTTGTGACAGAGCCTGGGGCGGGGGTGGATCCTGGCCCCTCTTCCGGGGGAAGGTCCCTTCTCTCCAACCGGGGGCTGCGGCACCAGTTCCTCTGGGAGGGTCTGTTTTTAGGCGGGTGACGGGAGTTCACAGAGAGCCCCCTTCAGGTGCTATTTGCCAACAGCGCAGAGTATGGTGCCACCTGGCCCTGCACCATGGGTGCCCCTCTGTCATGCGGCACTCCCCCACTCCGACCCCACCCCACTGGTCCAGTGCTCTGGGTGGGCACCGGCTCCGGGCCCCGGTACATGCTTAAAGGCCGCTCCCACACCCAGTGGGGACTTGTTTTCCCGTTGGCCTTTGTTTCATGGTGAGCGCCGCCTCATTCACCATCAGGGCAAGAAACATTCTGTTCTGAGGGAAGATGGAGTCCGTCTGGAATTCAGCCCCTGTTTTTTTGAGTCAGAGTCTCACCCTGTCACCCAGCTAAAGTGCAGTGGCGTGATCTCGGCTCACTGCAACCTCCGCCTCCCAGGTTCAAGTGATTCTCCTGCCTCAGCCTCCTGAGCAGCCAGGACTACAGGCTTGTGCCACCATGCCCAGATAATTTTTTTTCTTTTTTGTATTTTTAGTAGAGACAGGGTTTTGCTCTGTTGGCCAGGCTGGTCTCAAACTCCTGACCTCAAGAGATCTGCCTGCCGCCGCCTCCCACAGTGCTGGGCTGATAGGCATGAGCCACCGCGCACGGCTGGAATTCAGCATTTTTAAATCAGTGGGCTCCTGGTCTGGAGCTGTTTGTGGACAGCCTTTGGGGCACGTGGCCATACGCAGGCCTCTCTGGGCCTCCCGCACTGTGCCCTGCAGGCTCTGCTGACCGTGAGGCCGCGTGTTCCGGGGACGCCCGCCCTCCTCCTCTTCCACGCTGTGCCGCAAATGCCGGCTCCTCCCCTGTGTTTATTTTTCCACGTGGATTTTTGAATATGTCTTGTCAAGGTCAAAAATAAACCCGCTGGGATTTGGGTAGGAATTACATTTTCAGATTAATTGAAAGCGAAGTCAAGATCTTACCTGTCTAGGGGTCTCCTACATTTTGCTATGTTTAGGACACGCTGTTCCTGTCGTTACCTGT